AAAAAAAACAATTGCTGACAGTTTACTCCCCCTCAGGTCATCCAAGATGTGGATGAGTTTGTTTCTTCATCAGATTTGGAGAAACGTAGCATTCCATCATTTGCTCACCAGTGGATCCTCTGTAGTGAATGGGTGCCGTCAGAATGAGAGTCCAACAGCTGACAACAAACAACTCCAATGCTACATTTCTCCAAATCTGTTAGTAAATGAAACAAACTCATCTTGGATTAACCGAGGGTGAGTGAATTTTCAGCAAATTGTCATTTTTTGGATGAACTATTGCTTTAATTCATCCATCGTCTGAATAGACTTTATTGTTTTTTACGATGAATGCATTTCATTTGTATTGATTTATTCACATGCAATCGTTGATCAACACATACATACATAAATATTGTCAATGGAAGCTTCTCCTTGTGTGTCAAACACCAATGCACTTTTAGAAATGGATTACAGTATGTAGAATTTCAATGAATTGAGAAAAAGGATGAGAGAATTTAAAAAATGCAAAATATAAAGACCAATTCACAGAGCCAGAATCCTGGTCTGATTTGCAGCTAACATGTAAAAACTGGGTAACACTTTATTTCGATAGTCCACTTTAGACATTCTATTAACAGTAAGTAACTTTGCAACTACATGTCAACTAGCAGTTAGTAGCGTATTAGTAGACTATCTGCTTAATATCTTCAAACACTTTCTTTATCAACTTATTCTACTAACCCTAAACCTACTCTAACAGTCTACTCTGAGAGTTAGTAGATATGTAGTTGCAAATTAATGAGAATTAGTTTACATGTAGTTACAAAGTTACTTATAGTTAATAGAATGTCTAAAGTGGACTATCGAAATAAAGTGTAAACAAAAACTGTGATTCATTTTGTTTGTCATTAAATGGGTCATATGACGTTGCTAAAAAACAAACAAACATTATTTTGTGTATTTGGTGTAATGCAATGTGTTTACATTAAAAAAAACATTATTTTGTGTATTTGGTGTAATGCAATGTGTTTACATAAAAAAAAACATTATTTTCCACATACTGTACGTTATTGTTGCTCCTCTATGCCTCGCCTTTCTGAAACGCATCGATTTTTACAAAGCTCATCGTTCTGAAAAGCGAGGTGTGCTCTCATTGGCCAGCTATCCAGTGCGTTGCGATTGGCCGAATACCTCAAGCGTGTGACGGAAATGTTACGCCCCTTACCAGGTTCAGAAAACTTTCCTCCGTAAAATGCGCTGCACTCACTTGAATATTTGGGTTGAAGTGTTCTGGAACAGTGTTGTAAATAAAACTTAACCACTGATTTCTAGTTGTGTCCTCTTTTGGAAGCCAAACAAAGTAGCTTGGCTTTCGCAACGAAACACACAGCGTCTCCACAATACGGTGGCGGCGACAATACTACAGCGAGAATAAAAGTTACGCCTTCTTTCTTTGCATATACATTTGGGTGGTGTTATGCAAATCTTCCCACACAGTGATGTAGATATGTGGGGGCGTGTTAGAACGAGCCGGTTTAGGAAGGCGTGGCTGAGCCTTCACTTTTATAAAGAATATCTCTTTGGATTTGAGACTTTAATCTTTGCGACTTTACGGATCTTCTGTATGCACGAACAACTTTTAACAATCCAAAGACAAAGGAAAACATGAAATCGCATCATATGACCCCTTTAAGGAGTATGCAAAGGTGAATTCACCAATGCTAGTTTCAGACCAGAGTTAGTGGAGTCCAAACAGCATTAGAGCCCACTGACCTTCATTCTATGTATGAAGAAAAAGTAGAATAATAATAAAACATTTTTTTCAGAATATGCAAAAGAAAGTCATATAGGTTTGGAATGACATGAGTGTGAGTAAATGATTTTCATTTAAGCTGCCAGTAAAGACTCTCGGGTAATAAAGAAGGCTCTCATCTCTTAGCAACAGAATCCATCTCTTTAATAGAAGCAATAGTTTCTTCAGTGAACATTTGTTCTGACCGAAATGTGATAAAATTATTTTCTATGTAACATGTGACACTAGTAACTCTTTCTGAATTTCTTCTGAGATTTTCTCCTCTTCCTGTGTGGAAGGAAACACACTAAATAGACAGTAACTGTAACTGATTTTTTGCTTATTTATTTAATTGAACTTGAGGAAACAAAGTTTGTAAGATATGTAAATGCCTCTCTTAATATTACTGCCTCAGGCTGCTCTTTCCTTCCTCTGATGATTTAACTAAAATGCCTTCTCTTCTGCAGCACACAATGTATCTGAATGCAACATTTCTAGTAAAAAATAAAAATAAAAAATTAAGGAAATCGAAATCTTCCGATTTTCAGTTTCTAAGTTAAATTGGAACCTCTGGCCTTTAATTTGCTTTGAATTCAATGGTGAGACTCTTGTGAAAACTGTATCACTTGGTGATATGAAAAAGAAGTGTGCTTAATTGTATTGATTGTGCACTTTTAATATACTTCAAATCTAAAAAGTAAAAAGTAGACTTGGAGATAATATGATATACTCAAATTGAAGGCCACTTAATTGCACTTAAAAAGTTACACTTAAAAATGTATATTCAGATGCAGCCTGTCGCTTTCATATTGTTGCCATCCCTCTCATCCTTTCTCAGAGGGTTTTGGATATAAATATCCATTGCAGAATTGATGTCATACGTCGCTGGCCGTCTCAGTGATCAGCCGTAAAACAGTGATTCTGTCCAAATTCCCTTACATATTATTGGTGAATTTCCCTTTAATATCTTAAATGATTCCCTTTGAGCTAAATTGTCACTGTTTCCCTTACAAATGTCATACAATGGAAGCCTGATTCTGCCATTCAAAAAAAACCAAAAACATTTTATCTCTTTTATTTTTCCCTCAAAACACAGAAAATTGTGAGATATAAACTTACAGTTCCTACTTTATTTCTTGAAAGAGTTTACTTCTGGCAATTCAAAGTTTTCTTCTCAGAACTGCAAGTTTATATCTCACAATTGCAAGTTAACGGGTTTTTTTTCTCAGAACTGCAAGAAAAAAAGTCTGAATTGTGAGATATGAACTCACAATTATGAGAAATCAGTCAGAATTGAAAAGTGGCTTTTTTTATCTATCCCATGACAGAAACAAGCTTGCATACAATACATTCATAAGAACCTCCAGACAAAAGTAGATGATCAGAAGTGCACAATAATATGATTGTCAGTATAAGGCCAACAAAGATGTCTTTCCTCAGGAAGCATTTGTCTTTATTTTCAGACAGTGAATGGTTTTGCGGGGTTTGACAGTGGTGGTGTAGTGCTGGGATTGGTGCTAACACAGAACACTGGTGACTTAATAAAGATGGAGTGTTTTACGTTCATCAGAAGAACTGCTGCGCCACAACACACCATCTAACGTGAGTGAGTTTGACAGCTGCAAATAGACACGGAAGCAGCCGTGTAGGCTGTAAATTAATTAAATTTTTCTTTAAATGTGAGCCTTTCTGAGAAATGTGTTTGCTGAACAAAATTACTCTCACTTTAGACCAAAAAAAGTACACAAATCATAACTGATGTATATTAGAATTATCACAGCATACTGCTATAGTGCAAAAGCGTTACTGCCTGCTTTTTGAGTGCCATTTAGACATATTTTTCCATTCATTTTCTCCATAGAGATTCCAAAAATGTCTTCAATAAAGACGCCAAAGCACCAAACCAACAATCACATCCTTACAAACTTTGATTTATTAAGCAAATAAATGTTTGAAGGTAAATAAATAAAAACAGATCAAGTGGCTCTTCTGAGGACATGAACATTGTGACTGATATAATAAAATCAGATGTTAGGGTACAATATAAAACTTAATATGTAAGTGTTTATGCTCTAATAATGTCAATACAGAAATAATTTGAGTAAATTTACCGGCTCAAAGTAATTAAGTAATCGCTGGTGGTCACTATTGTGGTAATGAATGGAGAACGTTGCTGGTAAGATTTTTAATATGCAAAACAAAATGTGACTTGAAAAGAGTTCACCGATGGATACATGTTTGATGTCAAGTGCACACGTAGGTAACAACATACAAGAAACTGAGCTCTCTGTATTTTTAACTCAAAAGGTTTCTATGTTCACAATCTTATTTCAATAAATGTACTTTTGTCATGACAACTCTCGGAGGGATTGGCATGGTAATGTTCATGACAATGTAGATGTATTTGGTCTTGGCGGAATAGATCTGCTACGCTGCTGCTGCTGCTCTGGCAGAGCAAGTACAGAGACTTGCTACTGCCAATACATCCACAACATGCTGCTGTGAGCAAGTAAGAAATACTGCTGCTGCAAATATAACATACATGAAATAACCCCATATAGCATACATGAATCACCTCGCATCAGATCTATACAGGTGGAGCTGGGGAAGGTGGAGGGTTTCTGAAGCAAGCTGCAACTGCTACAGCAAGCACTAATCATATATTTGAAATTTGAGCAGCGAGCTCATTGGCTACCGATACAGGAGAGAACCAATCAGCTGTGTCATGTGATAATGATGTCATTAGGTCAGATTGAGTTAGACCTATCGGACAGCGCCATCTAGACTTTCATGCCAAAACTCTATATTTCTAGAGCCTGGCTTTTGCACTCAAAATACAACCCTCAAGAATCTGGAGAATAAAACTACACATATGTTAAGGACTAAATTGCCAAACACCCCAGACTTAAAGCTTACTGCACACAAACTCACCTGAAGGTCATCTGAAAAACTTGTCCCAGGATCACCTGTTGAGTTTTGTTATTGTACCCACGGAGCATCTCACTGAAGAGTGTGTCGTTGAAGCGCGAGTCTTGCTTCGGACACTTTGGCCCTTCACAGTGATCAGCCAGGAGAAGACAGGAGCGGCCGTCAGCGGCTAGCTTGTATTCCTGCACACACCTGATCATCACACACACATTGACAGTGTTGAGATTTCATTCAGATAATAAAATGGTAGTTAAGTGAATGTATGTTAAAGGGATCGTTATCAAAGAAATGGATGAGCTGTATGTTAATACCATACACACTCATATCAGCTGAATTCTGTAATGTACTGGGATGCAGACTTTTAAAAAATTGTGAGAGATATTGTCTGTTTTAAGATGGATATACTATACATATACATGACATGTATGTCCAAAAATGTACAAACCCGATTCCAAAAAAGTTGGGACACTGTACAAATTGTGAGTAAAAAAGGAATGGAATAATTTACAAATCTCATAAACTTATATTTTATTCACAATAGAATATAGATAACATATCAAATGTTGAAAGTGAGACATTTTGAAATGTCATGCCAAATATTGGCTCATTTTGGATTTCATGACAGCTACACATTCCAAAAAAGTTGGGACAGGTAGCAATAAGAGGCCGGAAAAGTTAAATGTACATATAAGGAACAGCTGGAGGACCAATTTGCAACTTATTAGGTCAATTGGCAACATGATTGGGTATAAAAAGAGCCTCTCAGAGTGGCAGTGTCTTTCAGAAGTCAAGATGGGCAGAGGATCACCAATTCCCTCAATGCTGTGGCGAAAAATAGTGGAGCAATATCAGAAAGGAGTTTCTCAGAGAAAAATGGCAAAGAGTTTGAAGTTATCATCATCATCATCTACAGTGCATAATATCATCAAAAGATTCTGAGAATCTGGAACAATCTCTGTGCGTAAGGGTCAAGGCAGGAAAACCATACTGGATGCCCGTGATCTTCGGGCCCTTAGACGGCACTGCATCACATACAGGAATGCTACTGTAATGGAAATCACAACATGGGCTCAGGAATACTTCCAGAAAACATTGTCGGTGAACACAATCCACCGTGCCATTCGCCGTTGCCGGCTAAAACTCTATAGGTCAAAAAATAAGCCATATCTAAACATGATCCAGAAGCGCAGGCATTTTCTCTGGGCCAAGGCTCATTTAAAATGGACTGTGGCAAAGTGGAAAACTGTTCTGTGGTCAGACGAATCAAAATTTGAAGTTCTTTTTGGAAAACTGGGACGCCATGTCATCCGGACTAAAGAGGACAAGGACAACCCAAGTTGTTATCAGCGCTCCGTTCAGAAGCCTGCAACTCTGATGGTATGGGGTTGCATGGGTGCATGTGGCATGGACAGCTTACACATCTGGAAAGGCACCATCAATGCTGAAAGGTATATCCAAGTTCTAGAACAACATATGCTCCCATCCAGACATCGTCTCTTTCAGGGAAGACCTTGCATTTTCCAACATGACAATGCCAGACCACATACTGCATCAATTACAACATCATGGCTGTGTAGAAGAAGGATCCGGGTACTGAAATGGCCAGCCTGCAGTCCAGATCTTTCACCCATAGAAAACATTTGGCGCATCATAAAGAGGAAGATGCGACAAAGAAGACCTAAGACAGTTGAGCAACTAGAAGCCTGTATTAGACAAGAATGGGACAACATTCCTATTCCTAAACTTGAGCAACTTGTCTCCTCAGTCCCCAGACGTTTGCAGACTGTTATAAAAAGAAGAGGGGATGCCACACAATGGTAAACATGGCCTTGTCCCAACTCTTTTGAGATGTGTTGATGCCATGAAATTTAAAATCAAATTATTTTTCCCTTAAAATGATACATTTTCTAAGTTTAAACATTTGATATGTCATCTATGTTGTATTCCGAAT